AGCGTTAAGCGAAGTAGTGAAGGATTGTGCAACAGCTCTAAAAGGCTTCAACCTGGCTGATGATTCACGAGTGTTAAATGCCACACGAGGTAATTTGTGTTTTTTTGTTTGTTTGTTTGAATAGTGGTAAGTTCTACAGGAAAGCACCATAAAACTACTAAGGTTACAAGGCCAATCATCAACTTAAGAAAATGCCATAATTAGAGCTGCCTGTGAAACCTCCTTTAGGCCCCCTCTGCGCAACATGCATTCTGTCCTTCAAGAAAGATATGGGCCACTCACAGGAACTCAAAACGGTGAGAATAATCACAGCTCAAAGGAAATAGGATCTATGAAGAAAGCATGAACAAATTTCTGATTTTTCTTCTGAAGCAGAGTGCGCTGGGGAACAACAGACAGTCTTCTGCAAAGATGAAGGAAGTAATCTATCCTCCATATCCTTTGGCAGATGGAACTAGAGGAAAATTCGGATTAGACCTTAGGAAAGTGTTTCCAACAGCAAAAACGATGAAGAGATTGGTAAAGACTGTTTAGGGAAGATCTACAACAGTTTACCCACACTTCTGTCAGGAAAGACGAATGTAGAAATCCACCCCTGGAAAAAGGAGGTAAACTAGATGACTTCCAAAGGGTCTCTTCCTACCTTCTGAATCCGAGACCGACGTCCTTTAAGAATGATCAGTCATAAAATCTATCTGAAGACTATTTCCCTCATCAGTGTATGAAATGAACAGGACGGACAACCGGTAAATATTTAACTTTTTTCTCATTTTTCAGTGTGTTGTCCTTATCTACTGACAATATTCAAATTGCGCCCTGAAAGCAGAATTAGTAATTTCATGCAAGCCTTGATTGGCCATTAATATAATGCATAAATATTTCACTACTGTTAAGCAATTTAGTTTTGCAACACAAAGGAGTAAAATCTCCACTATGTAGATGCAGAAGTCAATCAGTGACTTCAGTGGAGAATACTGTAAACCCTTGCACGGATCTATGTCTAAAAGTTAAAAGTAAAGTATGCAATGATTTCAGGGGCCTTGCTTTATGCCTCAATCACATCCATTCTCTGCAGAAAGAGGTCGCGAAGGGACACATTCACATAAAACTACAAACGCTATCGTAATACATGTGGATGAAAGAAAATAACTAAGAGTTTCGTAAATAAACTTAATGGCGGTATTTCCTAAAACAGGTGTTTGACTTTGCAACTTTAACAATTTTTAACACATTTCTATATGAAATATTAAATCCAACTCTCTCCTGACTAAAGATCTAGGTTCTCTTGCCATCAATGCAGTGTTATTCTGTCTAGATTATCTAATCTCTATGCCACTCTGCAATTTCTTTTTCTACTGAGTGTTGCAAGGAGTTTTGTAATGTTCTCCCTCTGAAGATTAAAAAAAAAACAAAAACAAAAAAACACACACACAGATAAAGTAGTCCAGTGCTGCTTTTTCACCGGACACCTTATTTTCTCTGTTCACACAATCAGCAGATGTTCACCAACCACTTTTTTCTATGGAATAAAGCACCCTATCCCTACATCTCCAGACTGCAAATTTGATCACAGCAGCAGCAATAACCAAGTAAAGGGGAATGATGTAGTCGGGCTCAATGCAACCGATGCACTCTCTTCAATTACAAACAAAGCAGGAAGGTGTGTTGCCATTTTTTTCTGTAGTTTTACTGACGGTCTCACAAGAGCAGACATTTAGCATACCAGACTATTAAAAAAAAAAAAAAAAAGAAGAAGAAGAAGAAAAAAAGAGCTGTATGAAAATCCGAGCTTCTACTTCTTTATTGCAAAAATTCACCACCGTCTTGATTATGGCAGAAAAGACTGAAAATATGCAATTAATGCAATTTACAGTCTCAGAAAGTATAAGGAAAATCAAATGAATCCAAAGGTGTTTTGTGTTTCTATTAAATGGTGTTGTTAAGGCCCTTCTCATAAGCTTTTAATACTAGGAGTTGACAACGTGGGAAACAGAGGAGGAAGGTCGCAGTGGGCTCTGCTGTACGTCACAGCCGGGCTCTGGCTGCTTGCCTGCCCCACGGGCTGCACTCCCCCTGCTCTCTACAGGCAGCGCAAACCCAGGGAGCAGATTCCTTTGGAAGAGGCTGGATTCTGCTCAGCCGTAACTCCTAGGCTGACAGAAGTTTCTCACAAAGTTTATAAAAAGGTAAGAAACAAAGGAAAAGGCTCCAAAAACCATGACACTCATAATACATAGAGCTGGCAGCACCACTTTTATCACTGCCAGGCTGGGTACTTTATCTTTGCTTGATGTTATTGCCCCTCCTCACTCGTGGTCAGTAATTGACTCATTACTTCTAAGCCCATACGCACGCATGCACGCACACTCTCTCTCTTTCCTTACCCATTTCAGCCTACCGTACCCCAGTATGGCTCAGATACTGTTTATTTTGATGGCTTCAACTCATTGCTTTTTGGAGTACTAATCCTAAATCTGTTTACCCCTCGCGATCTGATTTGCAGTTAGCAGTTAGTTCGCTCGGACTCCCATGCGCACATATCCCACTCTGTACAACGCTCCTCCAAAAGGTTCCAAAATTGACCATCTTCACAATCATCTTCCTCTTAGATGTTCTTATTTACCCTCAAGAGCGATCAGAAAAAAATACCATACAAGGAACAGCTTCGGCTAATTTCTCACCTACTGAAATTTGCCCATCCCAGTTCTGATACATCCTGCGCCATAATTACTATGTTTCAACAGAAATTACCTAGTTTAGCAAAAGACTTCATTTTATGCCCCGTGTGCCATGCATGCTTCTCCTTAACTCCTTTCTCTTTCCTATCAAAGACTGAAACGCACAAGTGTCTTATACTCTCGACTGTTTACTGAAGAAGGGGATGCAAAAGTAACTCTACCCACATCTGCATCTACTTCTGGTAGAGGCTTTGCTACTTTTCTGTGTTGTAGGCAGTTTCTGCATTGTCTGTTCCAATATACTTCCATATTTCTCCTATGCCTCACATATCAATTTTATTACTAAATATACAAACATTTCCATTGGATTATTATATAAACTTTTCTGATTCTGTTATATAGTGTAAGTAACTTAAAGAGATGAAACTGATGAGCATGACTAATTTGGAAGCCAGTTTCAGAACTGTTTCCCCAAGTTACAGGTTTCAAGTCTCCATGGAGTCGCGCTTCATCCTGAATCTTGATACGTTCCCTCCCCACCATAACACAAGAGACCCAAAAGCCTGCAGTGCATGCTATTTCACATAACTGTGCTTCTTCCTAAGAGAATGGAGCCGAACCCCTCAAAACCCAGTCCTTCTACCCACGCAAGGCACCACAGATGTGTCAACACCACATCCCCGACAACAATACAGACGATCGATCAGGAAGACATAGATCAAAAGTGGCATTCCTCCGTTAGGATTCACGATGCAGTGCCAAAAAACCTGACATCTAATTTTTTTAAATGTTGTTACAAGGACATCAACCACTTTTGCAACTAGCACGATACCAATTCTGCATCCCAATCTCAAACCAAAACTACCTGGAATGTGAGAAACCTCAGACTCCCAGTTATCTTTTTCACATCCCTTAATACATTTCTTTCCAAAATATCACAGACAGGGTCGGAGGTTTATTATTTTAATTAGCAAAATTATAGCATTTAACTTTTCAATGTCCTGATCAGCCAAAAAATTGCACCCATAATATCCTTTCAGCCTCGAGTAATCAAAGTCTACCCTTTCTGTTAGCAGGATTAGTAACTTGAGTACAAACAAGGGCTGGTTCAGAATCATGCAGAGGTTTTTTTGGATGACTGTTGTCTAGCTTGTAAGGAACAAGTTTATAGCTAGGGAAAATGCTACAATCACCTACTCATGATAACAGCCATAAAGTAACCTTGACAAAAGTAGAGAGCATATGAAACAGCACTAAGAACAACTTTTGCAAATAACCCTAAACAGGATCAAATAAAGAACCAAAACACCTGTTCAGTTCAAAGTGCTCTCTCTCTCTCTATATATACACGCTACAATTTAACACTAGCTTAGGAAAATTCCATTAAAACCAGCTTTTTGTGTATTTAACTGCAAAATATACCCGTAAGATTTATTTTATTGAAACTCTCAATAAAATAGGAAACATTTTCCTTTCCTTTACAAAAAAGGAAAATATCTGCTGGGAACTAGTAAGTTTGTGAGCATGTAAAATATGAAAATGGTAAATGAAGCAAGTAGATGATTTAATGGTTTTGTTTATGGGGAACAGGTTGGGAGGAAGCAAGATCACTAAGGTAATCCTCTCCAAATCTGTCAAAACATCCTTATACCTGAAATAGCAATCTCTGCAGCAGAACAGACCTGTACTGGGTTAAAAGCTGTATCAGGGCTTCAATAGAGAAGTTCTGCCAGAATTCTGTGATACACTTTCACTAGTGATCACACATAGCGTGTTTTCATTTTCCTGCTATCACATAATTGGTACTTCCACTGCTTTTTGAGTAATCTATGTCGATTAAAAATTGAGAAAAGAAACACAAACATTAATTTCTGTATTATAAATTCTGAAATAAGGAAAATATAGAAGAGATGACAGGGGATTTTTTTATTTTGTCCCTGAAAACATATAAATGCAAACAAACTTCAGATATTTTTATATCAATTTGTTAATACGTTGTTTTCTCAGTAAGACGACTTCAGTAATCACCTTTTCTCTCCTTTCACTTATGTGTTTTAATTCAAACCGTTAAACATGCATCAATCCTAGGGTTTTCTGGCGCAGTTTGAGGACAGCACTCAAGAAACATGCTTTTTACTTCGATCTCCCTATACACTAATTACGCCACCAGCCTCAAACACAAGCAGCTGCCAACCTAGGCTAATGCTTCAAAGCACCAGCAGCATGTCCCAAGCCTGTGCTCAGAGCGCTCCGCACCCCATTACTGGAGTCCTAGCCCTGCCCCTGCCCCTTGCCCCAGCATCTGTCTCCTCTCTCACTAACCTGGTTTTAGCTTCGACACCAACAGAGGCGGTGGAGCTTGCAGACTCCTCCGATACTGAGCGCTGAAGAACTGGTGTTAGCTGCTTGATGCTGTCCACTTCAGTTTGGGCATCCTCTTCTGCAGATTGCTCTTTGACTTCTGTTTAAAAATAGAATAATTGAAAACGGTTATGAGTTATGTTCTTTTGACCGTAACAATCAGAACTGTAAGCTTTTCTCTTGTGATGCAAACATGCATTTTATTATATACGGATCAAGCCATGTAACTATTCCATCAGACACAACAAAATTAAAGAGTGGGAAAACGTCACCCTTCACGTTTAACTAAAGCATGAAACTGAACGCTTATAAAGTTATTTATATAAAGCAGCATATTGGCAGTGAACTAAAGATGTTTTCAATAAGTAATGAGAAATGGGGCGGGGGGAGTGTTGTTAAATGATAACCTTTTCATATGAGGTTGCAGTTTTACACACATTTTCAGCAAGTACAAGCTCGCAGGGCTGCCAACAGCAGCTCCTGCTCTCCCCCTCACCTCCTCTTGGGCGCCCGCTCTTTCATCCCAGAACAGTCATCAGGGTGACTGCAATAATCTGCGTTATAATTAACCTTTTTTTTCCCAGATTAGTTTTACCTTTGATCCAATTCTCTGCAGCAGTTCATCGCTTCATTACGCTAGCCCCATGCTGGCACTGGGTTGAGAAGGAAAAGGATGGAAGGAAGTGGCTTAAGCCCGCCTAAAGTTCATGCTGAAGTGTTGGAATATAAGCAGTTTTTGCCACATCCTTTTAATTCAGAGTAGTTGTTAGACAGAAATATATACATCTACAACGAATACTGCTGCTGTTCATCTAGAAAGTTTGTTTCTGCTCAGAAGCATGAAACGGTAAGTTGTCAATGTCTGTGCCCCTGAATTCTGTTCCTCTTTCACTCCATCCTTTGCACTGAACAAGTCAGGTATTTGTTGGGAAAAAATGTTGCCATGTGCCATTAGGAAGGTATCAGAATGCACAGGCGCAGGGGAGCTGGTCAAGGCTGCAGAGGCAATTAAATCTGGTATTTCCACACTCCTCCATCCCTTGATTTGGAAACCTAAATAATACTAAAATGTCAGGTCTCTGGCAGATGTTCTTCATCTGCTTTAAGATACTCCGGCCTCCCTCTGTCAGTGTCCCCACCTGCCACGTTAGTCCCCCACAGCACAGGCAGAACAGGACCTGTGGCTGTGTTACATGCCACAGTCCAGCATACTACTACAAACTTCCCCAACAAACATGGGTTTGAGCTGAGAGGTCAATGCAAGCAGCACTTTCAAATAAATCCAACAGAGTAAAGCGACAGATGATTTAGATGATTCATGCAGAAAACGAGATACATTCACTCTATTAAAAAAAGTCAAACATTTCAAAAGACAGTCAAGTACTGCACAGGATAAACGATTCAAGCGGAGAAACGGATGGGTAGAAGAATCTGCGAGACTGGGTGGGCAAGCACTAAACGCCGCTACAAGCTTTAATTTTATTTCAAAGAACAACGAAAGAGAGGAAAATCCTTACATCATAAAACTGCAACTTTAGCAGAGCATTCCTTGGTCTGTAACAGTAAAATAATTAGCCTGCCACAGTAGCTGCAAAAGGGGAAATCTTTCTTGTTTGATGCACAGAGACTGAAGTAAAATTATTGTTTAACCAGGAGTGAATTCATTTAGAAAGACAATGTATAATGTTTAAGACCGTCAATGAAGGCATCTAAAACGTGTTTTAAGAGAACCATGACATTAAGAAAAGAGGATAAGAAATTCCGGTGCAAAGGTGGATGTGCCAGATATTCAGCTGGTGTAAGCTGGAATTGCTTCACATATTTAAACTATTCAGTAACATATGTCTGAATAATGGTCCAAAACCGACAACCTGTCACAAGGCCAAACGGCTTGCTTTAGGACCAGCCCACCTACCTATCCTGAAAAAAAGGCTGGACAGTAATTTTACACTAAAAAATACCCTACTGGGAATATTTTCCTTGTACTAGTTAAAGGCTCCATGCCAAAAATTAAAAAAAATAAAAATCACACAATCCCTACAATCGTTCCTGGACTAGGATTCCTGTCCAGCTGAACCTTTCACAGCAATCTTTGGTTAGTCTCCAGACTAACCAGAACTTTACAAATACAGCTTCAATTGAAAGGATAAATTCCATTATAGCATATACTAGAGAAGAGCTGTTACGTGTTCTGGAAGGTGCACGACAATTTGTGTAGAATTCATGAACCCGTGTAAGATGGGCAGAGTTGAAATCACTAAAACCAGAACCCGTTACACAGCCTAGGACACTCACACATGAAGTGCTCAAGGAAGACCACCAGAAATCATAGTGTTGCTGCTGCTCCATCTTTTTAAAGTTTATCCAACCTACTTACACTCTGTGAAAGGAACTTTGCTTTATTTTGTGCCTGCAGGACTTTCAAGTACAGAAAAGTCATTTGCACTTTTGTCAGCTTTCATTTCATTATAAGCTAATAGCCTGACACGTCCATGCCACCAGAGAGGCCAAGTTCATGCACACTAGCTCATTCTCAAAAATTCTGGACTGTGTGAGAAGACAGATTGCTTCATTACACAGTACAACTATATGAGCTTATATCCTTATGGCGATTTTCCCCCCGCTGTTTGCTTCCCTAGAAAAGAAAGCACCCAAATTATACTAAATGAGACAAACATCATCTCTACTGCTGTCTCTGTAATAACCAAACTGTGTCTCAATATGCTGGTGGAAGACTGAAAACACGATGCTCGGAAAACATGACAAGAGTAACATTTATATCCGTTGTGTATGCCACACACTAACTCTGTGAAAGAAACGAGAAGCAAAGAGCAGGTTTTCCAAAAGCAAACCTGAGGAAGAGCAGAGAGAACGTGTCAGGAGTCAGACTCCTGCGACGCAGGACTCCAGCGCTGGCACGGGAAAGGTGCTGTATACATTGCTATCGCTGCCTCAGAGGTGCTCTTGGAAGCATCTGGCACTATGCATTAGTCGCTTTTCACTGCAGTTAATGAATGTTCATCAGACTTTGTTATGGCAGCCTACTTTGAAGTTTCTGGGAATAGAAAAACTACGAATCATTTAAAAACGTGAAGCTCATTTGCAGATTCACATAGAAAGGCTTTGTTTTGCAACCTATTTTCGTGACTGTTTCTGTCATAGTTAAGGTCTTGGCTACACATAAGACATTGGGGGAACTGAGAACAGAAAAAACTTATTACACAATTTCCAACTGTTTGCAAGTTTTTTGTTTGCTCTTTTTAAAGTTAGTTTACTCTATTAAAACAGGTAAACATGAAATTTCAAAAATTTAAAGACAGTAATAATTCCTCCCCACCTGATTAGAGAGGACAGAAGGGCTTTCTTTTCTTAAGAACATTAAAAGAAATCCCCAAAAGTACAAGAAGTACCAGCACGTCTAGATGCAAGCTAAATACCAGCTTATCAAATTGCACATAGAACGATAGTATTTGTACAAAGCCCACGACATCATGTAAAGTGGCACTTGCCAGAGACATTGTAACAAGCAGCCAGTACCGATCTGGGGCCCAGACTTCTGTTTAACAGCTCCTATCTGAATGAGCCATCAGAGGGGCTGAGGCTTCTGCAAGCTTTACAACTTCAGTAATACTCTGGGAAAAAATTGCACAGACAGGGGACAGATATTCAGGGAAGTCACTGGAATTAGTAAGATTTAAAGCATGTTTATAAAAGGTCTCTTGTAACTAACACTTGCACTAATAAGATGTACGCATTGGGCTTCAGGTCGAAAAGATGGGTTTCAGGGTTCCCAGTACTTCAAAAGTCAATTGAAACTTTTCACACTAAAAAAAACCTCTTAAAAGGTTCTGTATCTTAAGCACTAAAAAATTCCTTCCCATAATGATTGTTTTTATTTTTCTTCCTAGAGGAGAACAGAGTGAATACTCAATATTAAATAACATGTACAATTCTCAGTTGATTTCTTGCATTAACCACTTTCCCATCATACTGCTTGTGTTTCCCTACTTCTGTCTTACTATTTTCAGAACATGCTGACAATCCCCTCTTTTCCTGGTCTGTCTTCAGATCCCTGGAGAGGGGTTAAGGCAAGAGGTGTGCACCAGGCAGACTCACGGGCAAAAGCGCCAGCGTTTTGTTAGCGCTCCTGTGGTGCGCTGCTTCCCTTGAAGACTGCCCTATGGTATGCTTGGGGGAGAGGGGAGGCTCAGCGATGACTGGAATTGCATTAGGTTATCACACATTTCTTTGCGGACGCGATGAAGCAAGAGCGATGAAGCAACACTGACTAAAGGTCTATTCTGCTCTTTTATTACAAATAACCCTTTTCTGTTTTCTAGTAACCAAAGGATGCTATTCTGCAAGCCACTAGGGTAAACACACAGCCAGACCGGGAGATGCGAGTGCATCTGCTATGGCAACAGGGCAATGAAAAGATACCTGCACTTCGAAAGTTAAAAAGAAGGTTAGAACTATTTTCCAAGTCAACAACTGAAAGCTGTAAGCCTTTTGCCAAAACAAACAAACAAACTCTTTTTAAATCATCTTAGACGAGTATGCAGTAACGACGACAAAAATCAAAACAGCTATAAGAAACATAAAACAGACATTCTGCTGCTGTTTAGATACGATTTGACTATTCAATCAATTTAGTGGTTGGGAGTCTACGGTCAGACCTACTTCTCTTTCGGCAGACAACAAAGCAAATGCTATGAGCCTCCAACTTGCAGTAAGAACAGAAAGTACTATAGGCTGGAATAGTCCAGTATCACCAAACACTACAGGGATATTCCAGTGGTCTCACCTGTTGCTACTCTAGACCTTCTTCTGCAAGAGGGAGCAACAAGATTTTACTAGCAGATGCAACTGTAACCTTTGCACAAAAAGGCATACTGCTGCTGCAAAAACCACCTAAGCTGACAAGGTGTTTTACAGAGCCTTGTAGGGGTCTACAAAAGCACAAGTAACTCCAAAATGCTCTAGTGTGCAGAAGTAGCTCAGACAGATGAAGAAACCATGCCAGTGTAGCAACAATACCAGAAGAAGTCTTAAAAAGGGAATTTAAATCATGAATTTAAAATGCCTGTCTAGTACTATACA